ATGTGATGATACGTCAATGTTGCCTTACATATTATAGAGTGATCCCAGTCTCTTCCACGCAGTGAGGCATAAAGCCGTGTTAATTAAACTCTTGTATCGGACCGGTTCTCTGTAGCGGCCGAGACCCAAAGACCAGGTATCGGGATCGGGACTGAAGAAGTCGGATCAGTGCATCCCTAGTTTCCACTTCCCTTAGGTCAGTCCTTCCAGGTTTAAACACACCACATGTTCCTGTTACTTCAGCAGCATCTACTGCGAGACCTGAACAGAGCTGGTCCTTCTGACGGGCTCAACAAGAAGCCAGATGTAGCTCCTCTACTCTGCGCTGCTCACAGGGAGCTGCTGGGGTCTGCTGGGGGTGTTTTCTCCAGCTTGATGAGGATGGATTAATATTTTAGTGGCCGAGGGCAAGATCTCTCTGCTATATCATCTATGTGTAATTGTGCGTGCAGGAACCAGCCTTTCATCTGATTTTTCGCCTCCAAACCCCAACAGAGAGGCGAAGCTCACATAATACAAGTTGCCTGCACATAATTATACACGTGGTGCAGGCGAAAGGCCCCGGGGACGACTCCACGCGCGTATTCCCTCGGGTCCCAGCACCCAATTCAGTCACAGCCACGTCGTTGTTGCATTATGACTTTTAAAAACTTGCATTTTTTTTTAAATTGGTATATTGTTTCGGTAACTTCAGAGGGAATTCATTTATTAGGACGGAGCTAAAGAGCAGCAACATCCTGCCAAGCACACATCTCAACCAGTGAAAAGATGACAACTCAGTGCAGGAAATAGCACCACTTGGCAGACGCCGTTATTCAAATTGACCCCGAGTGCAATATATTTTTTCGAGGAGTGAGAGCCTCGGCAGTGAACACAGCTGCCATTAAGTTGTGTGCCGGGCAGACTGCCTTTTAAAAAACACACTCGAGTCTGACAATGTAAACAGAGCAGTGTTTAACCTACTGACCCACAGCCCTTGGGTCTGCTGGGTGGCTTATTTGTAGAATATCTCAGAGAGCGGCCGGCCACCACTCGTGCTCAGCATTAGCTAGCGACGCACATCGCCATCAACAACCTGAGCCCCATGGCCAACTCTGCCAGAGACGTGGCTCCTGTAGTGGGGCCGCCTGTCCGGATGTAGGTCAGCGTTTCACACGTTTTACCGAGAACGAACGGGACATAAACGCACATAAATACACGAAACCTGAGCAGAGCCTTTAAAATACATAATTAACTAAACTGGCAGGTGGCACCTTAGCACCAGAAAAACACTACTCCTCCTGAGGGAGGCACGCCGCACACACACTAACAAACCTACCTCATTATTACCATCATTTCTCCCACAAGCAAGCTGAAAGATACAGCGGTGAAACGGTGAACTAGCAGGTATTTCATCCCCCGTGGATTACAGGGTGATGTCGGTTCACTGCAGGAGGTGAATGAGACACACGAGATAGGCCTCTGGCTTTTATTCCCCGTCACCTCTTGGTAAGGGACACACCGGACCACACGAATGCACGAACTGACACACACACACACACACACACACGTTAAACACACACCTCCTTGGACTGAGAGTTATAATGACATGCAGGCCTTGTACAGCACCCTCGAGTGTCCTCCTAGGCCGCGAGCTATGCAAATGGAGGGTAATTCATTTTGTTCAGAGTGGAGCAGATCGCCTCCACGGCGATATGTTCCAGGACGATCTCCACTATTAAATCCACAGCGAGTCCAAATACTCGGGGACAGGTAGGCCGTTGATCCGTTCAGCTAATACTAACTCACGGTTTTGGCTCCATTAACAGAGGAGCCGAGAGACTCCACGCTTCGCTGCATAAACTCTCAATGGCCTGTGACTGTAGCACCAATGCTGTTAACACTGACAACCTTTACATGCACACCAATATTCCACTGTTATTTTCAGTATTCCACATTTGATACGCGTCATGTAAACGGCATATACAGTTTGGAGTTACGATTGCAGAGATGCGTGCCCAGTAGAGAAGCCCACGTTTCTGGTTGGAGGGAGGAACACGCCTACTTTCAAACTCCATCAAAGACTTGGATTCAGGTTTTCTGATATGTACACAAATATATCGCAACGCCGAGGAAGTGAAAGCGTGAGGCTGCATGTAAACGGGAATATTGGTGTAATATTCATTTTACATCAGCTATGTTCACGGCTTAGTAGGAATATTGTCTTTTTCGGGATAAGGCCAGAAAACTGGAATACTTCGTGTCTTTGTGTAGACTGCAGTCTGATGTTGCAAACATGACGTCATTACTTTCCCCAAACCTTGGACGCTGTGCCGTTTCGGTCCGATGCACTGAAATTAGCATTTGCTGTTGTCCACAAGCATTAGCTGCAGTGCAGTTTAGAGCTGCGAGGAACAACAAAAGGAAAACAACATCTTTCCGGCTGTCCATTTCTTTATGCACAGCGCTGTGTTACGTCCCCTACTGTGAGAAACACAGGCACAACTTTTGTTTTTTCTCCCGCGGATGAACCAGAAAAGAGCATGGCCCGAGGGCACAGGATGTCTCTTAATGTGTGAGTCAAACTAATGGACTGCTTCCTTCTCCTGACCTCTCCTGCTCCCTCACTCGTCCCACATCCAACCTCTCTTTCTCCCTCTCTCACCCTCAATCCATGACTTACTCTCCTCGTTCTTGTCTTCTTTGTTTCTCCCGCCCTCACCCCGTCCTTGCTGTTGCAGTTGTTGTTCTTGCGCCTCGGGACACAGGGGCACAACGGGCAGGATCAATCTGACAGCCAGACGGATGTACACAACATGCTCACGGGGGCCAAGTCTTCATGCTATAGTCGACTGATGCGTGTGCATGAATATGGACACGACTACAGGGTGGATGCTGTTCTCCATTGGGCCTTAATCCAGGGGACACACACACAGAGCAGGGATCACAACACTGCTTTCCAAACACAGTTCAGGATGACCCATATATATATATATATATATATATATATATATATATATATATAGATAGAGGTCTGTATTTGCAACTACATGGGTCTAACCCTGCAGAACACACACGCACACACTTGCTCCAATGCACGATCCAGGGCGTTGGGCTTTTAAAGTAATGTCTTTCCTGACTGCGGTGTTGTCGTTGGATTTCCCTTGCAGTTAATCCGGTCTCTTTCGGAATCAAAAACCCACAATTGGTGCTTCGTTGCAGTCTTAAAAAGAAGCCGCGGCTGCAGCAGCTTCTCCACACGGAGAGCAGCAGGTCGGCTGATAAAAGGCCGCTCTCTGTAAATCGCAGACGGTCTGTCCGATGAGTAACACTGTGATTCAGAAAACTAAGAGCAAGTGTGTTGTTGTGTGTGGCGGGCTGACTCAAAAGCATTTGGCTTCCAAGTGTTCCTTCTGCCCCACAAGAACCTGAACACATATTTAAAAACGGTGATTATTATAGGTTTACATTAAACATGAAGGCGCGGGGCCGATGGAGCAGGAGGAGCTCTTGGGGACCACGCTTGTGTGTGTTTGAGTGAGCGAGAGAGAGAAGCAGCAGTTTTGTGTGGGACACAAAACAAACAAAAGAAAAAGAGCACACAGCGCTTTCAAACTTGCCTAAACATGTGCTGTGCAGACTAAGCACCCTGTCAAACAGTCAACCACCTCCGTGACACCCCCAGAACCAGTCAGCCCGCTATGACTGACTGGCTCTATCCGTCAAACCTGCCAAGCTCCTGATTCACACGGAGCTTCTGTTTGTAACGCCCAATGAAGTGCTTCATTCAAGACCAGCAGTTTGGACGACACAGTCACTTCTTCAAGCGTCGGTCAAAACAGAGACAGTTTCCCCTCAAACAGATCTTCTTCTTCTCCAAAACAAAGCGGCGGTCTCCCTCGCGGCGGTCTCCCTCTTGTTACTTTCTCCGGTTCCTTTATGTGAAGTTGGAAAGTCCCAGGTGTGGTGCAGGTACTGCAGCCATTAGGGCAGAACAAAGCTCCGCGAGTATAGTGAGTAATGACCGAAGAGGCCGGGTCACCAGAAATAAATCTTGGCTGCAATAGATTATAATTATATGGATAAAAGTTAATGATACACTGAGGTTTGTTGCCTCCCTCATTTCTAAAGCGGGATTACAACAGGAAGGTAATTGTAGCAACAGTATAGATCACCTATTTAAACCTATAAACTATTAGTCTGAAGGGAGTTTATAGTAGTCTTTCTGGTAGTATTCTATACTATTCTTATAGGATGAAATGTGTATTTGCTAGATATATATTTGCATTAGTTATTTTAGCGTGGGGGTAACGTAGATTCTTATTCCTCAGGGGATGAACCCGACCTAGATGAAATGCTCGGGGACTCCTCTCTGCAGGCACCGCTGTCCTCTTATCCGAGCAGTGAACATTACTAGAAGGAGCTCACCGGGTGAGACCTTCAGTCACTAACCATGACCAGATGTGACGGTCCAGATGTGCATGACTCACGGTGGTCTGGTGCCCTGCCCTTTCATCTCTGCAGCAAGTTGGCAACCGCCACCGGGGGTCAAAGCACACGGTATCGCGCTAAGTATACTGTGTAATGACCGGGGCAACCACAGCAGGAGGATGATAAACGCTGCCACAGCGAAACAGGATCTTATCTTCATGTTGGAAGAAAGCAATAAAACTGGGAATGCAACAACTGTTATCACATCAGCGGCGACCATAAAACAAATGACATAACATCCGTGTTTTAAACTGTTGTGGGACGTGGCCGCGTCTTCTAATAATATAGTGTGCCATTAAGGTCACCATCAATTATGATGACCAAGGGGACACCGTTAATTCCGACACAAATATCCCCACGCTTTGATTTTTTTTTGGAGCGTGCATGTGCGTTTGAGTTTGTGTGTGTGCGTGCGTCTTGCGCGCGTGTCATTCCCTCGGGTTGTTAGGAGGAGCCAATTGGAAAGCCCCGGTGACCAACGTTCATAAAGGAATTAAACGGTGGAATAAAAACAGCAATGCAACACTTACTTGCCAATGACCTCGCAGAGCTCGTACACATCTTCAAAGAGGATGTCGTCGTCCGCCATAGTCCGACCCCGGTTGGGGGAAAAATGATCCCCAAAATATGCGTCCCAAACCTGACGGTGCTCCTAAAAAAAGAGGGGAACGGAGAGGCCACGAACAGCTGACCGTTTAGGCAGAAATGAATGACAAAACACCGCTCGTGTAGTCGGTAAAGAGTTCCCAAGAAAGGTTTCTAAATTCCAGTTGTTGCCTCCTTCGTCGACCCCCCGCCCCCCCAAAAAATATGCTGCGTCGCTGTGGGTGATTCGGCACAGGGGGAGCTCAATAATCCGGTTTGGGAGTCCGCCGGTTCGGCCCCGCCTTTCCCACGGCTTCCCGGTAACGTACTCCCGTCTCAAAACGCAAACCATACGTGGTTGTCAAACAAGCATTACTCCGCTGGCGGTAACGACTGTGTTGTTAAATGTTGCACTCACACAGAGGAGGAAATGCCCGGACAGACCCCCGGTTGGCGGTGCGCATCAGGCTCGGGTTACAGCACTGGTCCAGGTGGGTTAACGGTGATCTCCACTTCCCGAACAGCCACGGGTTACACTTTCGGGGATACGCGCGCACACAGACGCGCGCAGTCCTTCTAGTCGCGTAAACCCGACCGACGGGCGGGTTCAAGTGTTCACCGTACAAACTGAGAAGCTGCACTCTCCGTCTCTTTCTCCTCGGCTCGGCAACACTTTCCAGCCCTTGGTGTATGTTTTTGTTTTTTTTCTTCCCCCCGTGTGCTTGGACGCTCCACAGAGCTTCCAGAAAACCAAGCTCCTCCCACACGGGGGTTGTGAAACTGTTCAGCCGTCCTCCATTTTGGCGCCGGGCTGTTACCCAGCATGCTCCTTAGAGGCCCAGAGGCTTTGAGCCAGTATGGCGGAGGAGCGGCGCCATAAAGGATTTTCTAAAACCGCAGTTTCCTTCGGACTTTTTCAATGGATACACACGAAGTGGAGTTCCCATCCGGAAGCGAGCAGGAGCATGAATGAAGCATGTGCATACATCTAAACAACTACCCATTTAAGTTGAGAAGTTATGAACACTGATATGATTCAGACAGTCGTATGGTGAATGGTGTCCTATTACACAGGGGTGAAACAATCAGCCAATTGTCCAATTAGTTGATCAACAGAAAATTAATCTGCAACTTTTTGGATAATCGATAAATCAGTTGAGTCATTTGTCAAGCAACAATTCCAAAGAGCCGGTTTCATGATTTCCTGATTATCTCCATATTCTTACTGACATTTGAAGAAGTCACCTTGGGCTCTGGGAATCTCAGCTTGTTTTGCTATTTTGACAAACAATGAATCAAGAAAACAATCGCATGATTAACTGATACTGAGTTGCTGCCCGACATAGAATTTTAGAAATGCTGATGTTTGAAGCATTTTGGTGTCTGATAAGCCCCGAAACTCATCGATCTACTACTAAAACAGACTGTCTTTGATTGTATGTGTTCATGCACTGCAGGAAACAACACCACACAGCTCCTTTCTGTTGAGCTGACTCAGATGTTTTATGAAAATCGAATGGAGGGACCCTTATATGTTTCTAGATGTAGCTAAACTGCAAAGAAACCAGATTACCCTCTGGAATAATGCAACACATGGGGTCAAAATGAGACACCATGAGACAGTATTACTAACTGACTGGCTGTGGTTGTCTGCAGCGTCAACATTCACACCTTTTAGGATTTCTACGTTGACAAAGTGTACGACGCAGTGGAAACATGCGAGTACAACATACAGACAAGTGCTGTCTATTCATATTTCATGGGCTCCGGTGGGATAAATGCATTGCCAGCTGATTGCCTAATGAATGCTGGGAGAATAATTAAGCAGCGTCGGTAAACCCGAGATGATGAGCTTGTTCTTTTATTCATGATTTTTCAACAAAAATGGTGGTGATGTAATTAAATAAACCCCAATGCCGCTACTGTAGGTATTGCGTCTCTCCCTTGATGCTGCAGCTGCTTATGCAGCAGTAAGAAAAATCTTCTATTTGGGCCATTTGAAGTATGAAATGTGTGCCCTTGCTGATCATGTGAGGTTGTGTGCGGTGTTGCAAGGTGACAAGCGGGGGGGGGGGGGGGGGGGGGGG